AGTCTTTGTCCTTGCAGCCATGGTATTCCTTTATCCTTAGTTGACTGTTGCAGCACCCAATCTATGGCAAGGGCAAACAGAATTGGAGACAGCACACATCCCTGGCGGACCCCAGTCACTACCTCAAACCACCCGCTGAACCCATCATCTGTCCTTACACAGCATTTGGAGTCAGCATATATGTGTTTGATGGCTGAAATGACTTTGTTGGGTAGTCCGTACATTTGCATGATGTTCCATAATGACTCATTATGTCAAATCAAATCATAGCTGTCCGAGGCCATTAGCTTCGTCTTCAAAGGATCTTGTGATAGCCGATTGTCTTTGATGGCCATATTGACAGTAATGTTGCTCACACATTATGACTGAACACAGTGATTGATCTAAGTGATGATCATTAGCCTCCTTCGCAAACTTCTGAGGCGGCGGCGTTAATTTTTTTTCGGGGAGCGACGTGAGTTACTCGTATGCCGCGAAGCTGTTTTGCCGCCGAGGGACTTACAGCGAAACCGTCCCTCCGCAGCATATTTGTAACTCGCGTCGCTCCCCCCCCCAAAAAAAAATAACGTCACCGCCTCAAGAGTCTGCGAAGAAGGCTAATTATCACACTCATAACGTCGCGTTAATGACGCATAAAAAGCTATTAGAAAGGCGGATGTCGTCATTGCGGACTAATTAGCTGGCCCGGGTGGGATTACGTATCGCGGACCACGGCTGATGGCGTGGCGAGCATGGCGTAAAATATCGTTTTACGACTTGAAATACACTGCCTATTAGATTAGTTACGAACGCACTTTTCAACCGCAAACACACAGACTTGCCACCATTTAAGTATGTGGAAATGTCCCTTCAAACAATTGATTTGTCTTTTCGTAGAAACACTTATAATTGATATCTCCATAGAGACACAAGTTTCGTTTCGGGGCGTGTCAGTTTGCTTGTATTTCGTGATAGTTGTGGTCAGTAGAACTTAAGGTCTGGATGGATATTTGCATAATACCACTAAACCATACAACATTAGTTCCGAAATCAAAGGAATCTCCAAATACTATACACTTTTACATAATATCATAGTTTTGGTTGGCCAGTATTGTTGTAAACATCTTAACGCTTGGAAACAAAAAAAGTAATTATTTTTCCGTTGAACGGTGGACGTATCTCACGTCCCATCTTCTACAGACCTTCATTTCTTTTAATAATTAGGTTATCTAATGTGCGGACCTTTTGGAATAGACAAGATATGTAGACTGTTCGCAGCATCACGAACAAATCATGTGAGATTGCACTCTTGTTCATGATTGGTCAAATGTCGCAGATCCAATCATGGTGGGCTCATATTTCTGTCCCACCGGTCCTCGTTAACCTGGGTCTGACCGTCGCCGGCTGTACCACGAGATTGAATTACATTCCGAAATAGATTAGAAGGAGAAAGGATGCTGCAATTGTGCTCTAACACAATCATCATCTGTGTGGCGGACACAATATTGTTATTCCACAGATATTTTTTTCTATGTAAAGTGAATATAAAAGCAAGAGATTTCAAATCTTCGGAAAGTATAATAAGTTTTATGACTTCATTGACACGATCATTCATTCCCACGCTATCTTTATACCAAGTTATCTAACCAAAATCAGAGTTGAAATGCCTGGAAAATAAACTTCATTTACAAGTACATCAAAGAGCACCTCCTCCATTAAGCATACAGACAAAGCGTTTGTATCCTGCGGCAATTTAGATATGGTAGCAGAGAAGTTAACGCCCGAGCTCAAACTACAACGCCGAAAATAGATATCTTGAAAATGACTTTGAGCTTACCAAAATGATGTCAACATTTGATGCGACACCTTAGCCCTTAGACATAAAAGCGAAGTCTGCCGCCGGTGGAATATATTGTTGAAGGTTTGAGACGACACGATATACATTATCATCTGTATGTATATTTGTGACATGCTGGCTTACCTAAAATGAAATCTGGGCACCAGTCTTTCATGGTATAGTCTGACACATTTTCAGAAACAGCTTTCCATTATGAATAATTCTACCCACGGAAAGAACTTTGGTGAAAAAATCTTGAAGAAATGGCAGTTTTGTTCAGAGTATCTCAAAATACTATGACGTCGACAATGTACCAGTTTATAGATTTACTAGCTGAGGCAAACGTTGCAACCAGCTGCAGATAAAATGCCGTTGTGCTTGTTTTTCTTTTTATTTTAAAACAGCGGCCTAGAATGCGTGCAAACGTATGGATGCGGTCTGTGCAATAATTTTACCTTCAGTCGTTTACGTGTGTGTCTTAGTAGCATAAATAGATTTCAGCTTGCATGCGTTGTTAAAACCGCGCGCATGGATGATCCAGATGTCTCTCAGGACTGCTTTGATAAAGTGTTTGGGATGCTTTTAGTGTTCATTGCTTGCTTGCATAGGCGGATGCAGTTTAGCCTGTTCCTTCACGTAGTAGTCATTTCTGTTTTAAAATTTGTTATGGGAGAAACTACTAAAACTCGTGACTAGCCGTACTCGATTGTAATGCTGTATTGAAAATTCTTCCTAGCCCGTATTATTTAGTAATTAGTTTGCAAAGTTTTATTCTATACCTCTTTTTTGTATTATGCTCAATATTTGTCCTGAATACCGTGTACAATTGCCGTGCAATAATGGTCTTTTTTCTAACGACACTGGCCCTGTTTTCGTAGATATTGGGATGCCTCTTATGTAAATGAAATTTTAGCTGATGTTTTTTTTTCTGTCAAATATAAAGCACTGGGTGAGTTTTCACAGCGTCTATATACGTCCCTCAAATTCAAAGTCAGAGCTTCCCATGCCGACATTGCATCTCCCTGTGACACATATTTCAATTGATTCTGACAGACAGATTCGTTCAGTAATATGCATGGCGATGATCTAGGGTTTTGAACTTTTTGGCTCTAGCCTCTGCAGGGCTCATGGGCCTCTGCACCCGTGTATCATCATCGCCATAATGCGTTTACGAAGAGAGGGAGCCAGACAAATCACAATCTCCTGTTAATATCATTGGAGATTGCCCTTTCCTGTCTGAAGAGGCAGAGCAGCTTCCCATCGCAGAAATTGTAAGCAATTCTTTCTCAGAGCCCGACCGGATCGGACCTGACCGGATTGATAAATGTTCTTTGGAATTTCAGGAAGCGTTATTATACATCCCTGTCCCTCGGGCGGCGCAGTGTCTGGAGCACGGCATTGAGAGGCCCTGTGTTCTTGTATCCCTGACACTAAGTTAAATGTCCCTGGACACCGTCATCAGGGCGTGAGAAAGTTTTGTAACTAGTTTCTTCGGGCACCTTTCTTTGCCATTGATATCTTGAATGGATCAGAGAGTGCTTCTTCATCAATCATAATCTCCTAGTGCCTACATGATGAGGACTAGTCATACGGTAGCTTCTTTCAGACTTTTTTTAGATCATGAGCTAGCAAATATATATGTATAGAGAGAGAGAGATCAGAAAAAAAACGCGTTACGGCTTTCTTTCTTCTACCACGATCCACAAGTACCATTAATGAGGGCAATTTCCCCTCTTTCCAATTGTGACCTAAGCATTTTAACAGGCCGTGGCATCCCTTCCTGTACAGATCCGTCACTTGGTTTAAAAAAAGACAACACACTTACAAACTTTGATGTTGGGCAATGTTATGTATTCTAAAGAAGAGCCATGGCTAATAGACTACCTGATCACAGCAGCCCAGCTTGGAGATCAATCTATATTTAGAAGTTTTTAAACTGGACATGGGCACTGACCCATAAGGCAACTTTAAATATGCATCCTAATTTTGGCACTCCAACTGACACTCTATCGCTTGACTTCACCTAACGGAGGGACCATATACAATTGTCTTTTTTCTTGGACATAGCCAAACCTATACAATGTGCTAGCTCATAAGGTGTTACTTATAGCCGACACTGCGGTAGTACTGCACTGTACCGTAGTTAGCTGCAGCAGTGGTTTTACTGGCAGCATGCTAAAACGTCGAGTAGGTCAAGGTAAACACTCGGCGAGGCTTCCAATGACTGCTTCCACAGGCCTATCTCTGAGCAATTTGTATGCTGTCTCTAGTTTTTAATTATATGCATTCATTTATCAATAGATTTTACTGTTGAAGATAACCAAAAATTACAGCGTGGAAGAACATAAAGCCCCAATCCAATTAAAAACGTTCTCTCCGAAGAGGTTTTTGGCCATTTTTTCTCTACTTATATATACCTGTGCAAACCATGTTAAGATTATCTTTCTACTGTGGCAAGATAATGGAATTGGGCGAACCGTTCATGAGAATGAGAAGTCTGTGCAGACTTTCGTCATGCATGTTAGAAGGAGTTAAAATGATCCTCTCCTTTAACCTCTATTCGAGCATCTTTTGATCACAGGGGCTCAGTGAGGTCCAATTTCCGGACCAGAATGATATATTGGTAGAAGGTTGGGGCTTAACTACATACCTGGACATGGCATCTCGAGCATCATGAAGTGTCGAATTTTTAATTTCTTTTCAATGTTCGTTCCAATATCCAATAGGATCAAGGGTTGCATTGGAAAGAATCACGGAAAATTACAGACACAAACACGCGGAAACACAGATGACAGCTTCCTTGTGGGCGTTACCCAAGTTTGCAAATCAATCAATCTAGCTTGTTAAAGACTCGACACGCATGTAGCATTCCGGATGTAGAGGGCTAGCACCTGTAATCCTGAGATAATTGCCACACGCTGGAAGGACTACGTGCAAGGCTATCTCTGCCTCATGGCGTACTTCCCGAGGATAAAGTAGACATGCTGTGCTCTGTATGTTAATGTGCACAACGTGTATTTGTAAAAGGGTCACTCTCAGGGGCATTCATTCTACTGACCATACTTTACTGGTGAGCAGTTAAAACGTATAAACCTGTACATCCCAGTCGATTACTTATGAAGCTACACAAGGGATGTCTATCTTAAAAGTGTGTTATATGTATACGTGTTGAAGTTCATACGAAAAATTCTACATCGTTTGAAATAATCTTCATTGAACCAGGACGGGGGCCGCTATAGACTATTAATCACCTTTTATCCGTTGCCCAATCACAATTTCTAAAGGTCAAGTTTTCTGGGCAATCTAGTTCGCAGTTACCAAAATACTGGTTTAAAACAAAATTTGAGTATAGAATCAATATATTTTGCAACAGCAAGCTGAAGTTCACAATTTTTCAACTGAGTACAATAAGACAAGCCAAAGCTGATGAAGTAAATTTCCTTTGTTCTTCTTTGAATTTTTTTCTTGTGAATGTTATGTTGTTTGTGTACTATTTCTCCTGATTTCGTGCAACACGATGTGAGCAAACATGTTCATCTGTTTGTAAAAAAACATACGTACAATTAATCAATGTGCAGAACTATAATTATGCTGATGTCGTTGCAATAATACGTACGTGCTGCATCGGCAAGTTGTATATTCATCGCACATCTACAGAGATTTAGAACTATCACACTTCACGTTTCAATAAATTCCTTGTAAAAGATTAGGCTGATCCTTTATATGAAGAAAACGATTTATTTTCTCAAAGTGCACAGCTAGACGACACTGCTGAATTTGTGGTGAAGAACTAGTCTCAAATCACCACACGCTTATCTATGAGTACGCACACCCTGGAATATTGTGGAAAAAATTACGTGGGATTTAATTGCCAGTCACGAAGTCTGTAAATACTTTATCATGATCACAAATTCAATTAATTACAATTCAACTTTTGATAAAAGCGAATGCATCGACATACTAAATACATCCAACATATATATGTATTACATATAAACATGTACTAGTATATATACAATGCGTATGCCATGGTCTTGAGCGAATAAATAAATTAATTTATACATATGATACCATCTCCATACGACTAACGCTATCGTGTGAACCTCTAGTTGAACGCATGTGTTCTCTGTTGTTCACTACGAGCGTGTTGTCTGCAGTTCTAGGTGTTATACTTGTTGGATAGTCAATCCGCTGGCGTACCTCACGTCTACTGAGCTGATTGTTTCTATACATGGACTTGTTTCGCAGTGAAAGGTATAGATCTCTTGGTGACGTTTTGATATAACGGGTGATATTGTCATTAAAGACCACATAGACAAGGGTGTTCATCAAACTGTTACTCATGGCGATAGCTTGGACCATGTAGAAAAGATTTAAACTCGTGGATATTTTCGCCAAGACGCCGATGTAAAAGTCTCTGAGGATAGAGTATATGTGATAAGGAGTCCAGCAGAGAACAAACATGATGAAAAGAGCGAATAACCGGACGGACTTCCGGCGGGAGCGTGACTGGACGCGCGCGTGAGACGCGTTGTGCTGCCCCGGCAGCTGCCGCCGCCACACCTTACAGACCACGAAGGAGTAGACTACGCTCATGATGACTGCGGGAACGGCGAACTCACCGACCACTAGGAAGACGTGGAAGCCTTTGTACACGTGCTGTAGGGAGACAGGCCACAGCACCCCGCAGAACACCGAGTCCCGGTGTTGATATGGGACAGTGCGAGAGAAGATGGCGCCAGGCAGAGCCAAGACGAGGGCCATCACCCATATGACGACAGAGCTCCAACCGGAGTTAAAGCGACTCGTCCTTGCATTTTGAACGACGAGGTACCTGAATAAAATAAAAACTAGATATCAATCACCCATCAGAAAACGCACAATTGAATTACTTTCAGTTCACACACAGCCCGCCCCCTGCGACTCCTAAATTACGTATCGTATGACCACCAAATTTTCAGAGGATAGTTTAGTAAAATGAAATCATAACAACTTTGGTTTTATCATAAGATATACAATCATTTTGACGTCATTTATGTCTTTTATGTCATTACTGAATTTTGAAAAATGGCGTGACAACACAAACATATTAACTCCCTAATATAGAATTATGACCAGACGTTATCTGAGATGAAAGTTGGCTCGGGCATCAAAGGCCTTCCCCTGTCTGAACAGGGTTAAGATCCAAATACATGTATCTATCAGGATGAAACTTCAAGACTCTGTAGCGTAAGAGACAGGGTGATGTAGGACCAGATCTCGGCACAAAAATTGCCATAGACGTCCGACATCATTCTTCAGGAGATCAAGGGTAAATTGCAAGTAAAATGAAATTAACTATGTCTGGAATGAGAAAAATGTGAAAGTTGAGACTTTCCTTATCATGACGTATGAGTAAACATTTGTAAGCATCAGGAAGGCTGTTTGTTTGGCAGTAGTAGAATATAGGCCAACTGTAACCGTAAAAGGATTGAGCTGCATGGTACCATTGTTGATTGGGATCAGGTGCATTTTCAGATCTAACCAAAAAAGTTACGATTACTAGCATCCTACACACGTTTCTCCTCACTAGAATTCTGGTACTTTACCACAGGAATTACTGTAATCTACTGTCGTCCTGAAATCAATTTCCGGCAGCTCTAGCGAGTCAAATCAATGGACAGGAAAGGTTCAAGACAGAGTTTGGAGTACATTTTCCTTCCGAAAGCAACAAGAAACGTTGCATTAGATTCGCCAGTCTCTGAGGAAATCTTGGCGGTAATAGTGAGTGCTTTGTATGAAAAGATCAAAGTTGCAAATAGCCAGGGACATGTTCATGAATCTGTCTGACCCCAGGATGACGCCGCTGTATATGTTGTGCCACAAGTTCAAACTGATAAGGAGAAATTTGCTGCCGCGTATATTATCTTCCAACTTATTTTGTCCACCGGGAAGGTGTTGAAAGTGGCAGAGGTGGTAATGAGAAGGCTCCAACGTGGATGAAATTACTCCCAGTCATCTCACATCCGGTATAGAAAGAAGGGCACGCACAAGTTGTGGCCGTGTGCCAAGGAATTGCCCAAATGTTCTAGCAATTACGACGTCGGCACGTTACGTGACGTTGTGCATGGAAACAGGGATAAGTTAAGCTGATGAGCTATAGCCTATACACATAGCAGAATGCCTTACTTTGGCAATGCATTGCCACAAAATTATGATATACAGTTCCATTTAACCTTGAGAGCAAATGATGTGGGGTTTTCCCCCAACTTGCCTGAGCACTAATTTTAAAAAAAAGGCCGTTATTTGTGACGACAAACGGAAATTAAGCTGTGATGAGAACATAATTCTACCACTTACGATGTTCATCGGCATTTATAAGATATAAACACATGTCTTCAATTACTATTATTACTGGGGTGTGCGTACACCATATTGTTAAGTCAAATATAGTGAATAGCAAATGATATATGGATCAACACAAATTATATTGTACGCTTACTAGCTATAGATTGGAGCTTGGAGCCGTTTGTCTTAATAGCTGTAAGTAAATAGGCCGAGCATTATCATAAATCTCATCCACCAGCGGTCTATATCTTTATTATATCTAACAGTCTAGTTCATGTCATTCTGCCGAGACTTGAAGTGTGAAAAAAGAGTTGGAAAACACCTAGCTAGTTACAAGTTCCATACAACTGTTCATTCACCAGTCGTTGTCCACAGTGCAGAATATATAGAACATTGCTCGATCTGTGCCTGATCAACATCCGTGTTTTAAACTTTTGTTTTCACTCTTTTATAGGATTTAACGTATTCCAAAATCTATATCTAACTGCTAGGCGGTATGGGGCAATGAATATGATGATTCAGTACGCAATGATGAAATGTTAAAAGTTCTGCTTTAAATGATAACAGCCCGGTAGAATTTTTAACATATGTAAGGACAGCGTGCATTACTCCAATGGGTCACCTTGATACTCCACACTTCAATTGGTTTTCCAAAAGGTGCGTTATCAACCAAGATAGCAGTTTTACTCTAAATGCGTTCACTTGAGAGTTATTAATGTGCATGTACGTCAAACGGATGCTGCATACGTACACGCTCCGCAAATTAGAGCTGCCGTGTAAATGTAGCCGCTTTTATCTGCATGTTTTCCCAGTTTCTTTCTCCCTCAACAAACACGAAGTGAGCTAAATGTATCGAACGGAAGGACTTCGTGACAGCTCTTTATTGACGACGTTTCAACAACAGCTACGGTGTCATTTATTTTCGTTCACCAACACCATTTATCTTCACTGGCCCACCAAACTTTGGCGAAAACAGCCTGTCCATATGAGACGAACGACAGTTCAGCACTTGTTGTAACATATCCCAGTGGGATCAGGAACCCTCATCTGATGTTAATGATGACGGTACGTAAGATTGCTGGTCAACCAACAAGTGTGTGGACTCAAATTGCACATTAGATTGGGACGTTAAGCCTTTATCGAAGGAAGGTGATTACATGTAACGTTAAGCGGATTTTTCTCAGTTTCACAAATATTTAAACATTTGCAACGTTTTCATGTGCCCTTCCATGGATGGTGCATAACAGTTCGACCTCAGCTGTGAAAAAATTGTTCGCAGACTGGGAAGTTTGCCCAGAAGACTCGTTTAGAGACTCTAATTGTGGATCCCGCAAATCGTTGTAAGACTTTTCCTCACCGAGATATTTGTTGAATCATTACGTTAAGTCCCGGAAAGAGCCTAGAAAACTTGAAGTGTCTTAATTTTAAATTCTTAATGCGGAAGTCATTAAGGTAACAGATATTTGTCATCATTAGATGTCATTTTAATGAGACGCTAAGTGCTTGCGTGATCCGGAATAATTTCCTTTGCTACATCAGTAAACATAGCAACGAACGTGTGTGTCTTTTTATCATTTGATTTTTTTCTGTTGTTACGATTTACATACATTGTACACAGAACAGCATAGCGTAAAAACAGTGGTGAATACGCCAAAATAACAACATATACGACGGATACAAATAATTCTTCCATATGAATGGAAAAGAAAGTCAATACAAATCAAGTACACGTCGATAGATTGAACTTGATGTTACAAATCTAGCAAAATGTGATACTAGCCCAGAGGATCTGTTGGTTGTGGAGTTTAACGTCAGACCTGACAGTTACTTATAACATTTGAATAATAATCCTGTCACCCACCTGTCGATACCGATGGCGAGCAGTGCGTGCGTGGAGACGTAGTGAGAGACGGATGTGAAGTAGTTGACGACGGCACAGAGTGCCGTGCTGTGGCGCCACGCGCCCTTGTGTACAACATGGTAATCCATATTGTACGGCAGGCACAGCAGGGAGACTAGCAGGTCTGACAGCGCCAGATTGCCGATGAGCATGTTGGTGGTGGTACGGGTCTCCTTGTAGAGAAGGAACGCCAGCAGGAGCAGGAAGTTCCCTACTCCACACACCAGCATGATCAGGCTGTACAGCACTCCGATCGCTATCTCGGACCCGTCTAAAGAGTTCGTCGGGCCTCCGGGCCCAGCATGGCTGAACAGGTTTCTAGTAGCGTCCGCTTCTGTTTCGTTGTCACCGACAAGGTCCAGGAAGGCCTTCATCAGCTCATCGAGATCAAATGCAAGCAAAAGATTCTCCAACGAACTGTTGTTCGGGAAATGTGAAAGTCCATCTTGCAGATAAACCGTGTCATTTGCGAAACTCATCTTGCCCCTCTGTCAATGGTCACATAGACGGCAATGGCAGCTTGTAGTTATGGGATGTTTGGTACCGTGAGGTAAATCTTCTAGCCTGGCGTCTAGTTAAACGGGAAATGCCTCATCCTCTAGTACCTTCAGAAGTTGACGTTTTAAGATGATTATACGGTCTCGGTAGGCACCGTATTAGGCTACTTGTGGGGGTTGTGCCAGCGACGTGCACGGCTTCAGAACGATCGTCACATGATTTGGTTTGATTTGATTTGAATGCTTTATTTATACAGGATGGCACTGTTGGCCAGAGGTCCAGTGAAAGGGGTGGGGTCATGTAAATTATTGATTTAGAAAAATAAACAAATTAGAAATAGCTAAACACTTATAATTACAAAATTTTCAAATATGATAGTCCTGGTAAATAAGCTATTGCCTTTGAAGGTAAGTCGAGACAAAGGACAGCTCCTGATACAGTCAGTGATCTTCCGATAGTCCCTGCTTAGGCACCTTCTGTTTGATTGAATCTTGGTGGTTCTGGTGGTACGACAGATTACAAAGAGTTCATTAACAATCAATCAAATAAAAATCCCAAACGAAGCAAGTTCAAGTTAAAATTAAGCACAGAAATAAAGTAATTCATCTAGTCTCATCTAGTAGCACATTATGATACGATGTTAAAATGGAATTTTGCCACATACATAATGTATGTTATTTGGACACAGAAGCCAACAATTAAAATAGCTTATGCTATTCACAACCCTATTTGCATGATGACAGGTTAAATCTAGAATTGTATCATAGCTCTAGATATCTGACAGAGATATGAGGTCTCCGAACTCCTGTTACGGATTGGATGCGTTCTTCTTAAGGCGTCATCAGTCACCTGGAAGCGGAGCCTCGGGTGTTAAGCCTCTGCACGTCAAAGAATCCAACTCACCATTTGATAAGAGTAGGCCTGGGGGTGACGCAATGTGCTTTCCTGAAAACTGTGAGCCGTGTTGGAGCCGCCTAACGTTACATGCTTCATCTCTTTGGACCGATACCGTATGTAATTTGGATGGTACTCAGAACCTACGAGTATATCAGATTATTACTGAGTGATGAAGCTGTTGCCAGGTCCAAAACAAGTGATTAAGTTGGAAATTTCGAATTTAATAATAGGTATGTCATCTGAAGAAATATGGAGTACATAATAATAATACATCAAGTGACACTGCTTGTAACTAGAATAATCCTCCATAAAGTCATAAAGCCGTGACAATTGGTTACTGAAAAGGCTCTTCATTTATGATCGGCAACACTGCATACTTGTAGAATGATATGATTTCAATAGTATGAGTTTCATTGCAAATTTGACCTTATCACAATAACGTTAATTACACGCTTGCCCCTCCTGTTCACGGTGCTCACTCGGTGGTTTATCATGTAGCTTGACAGATGTTAAGTCACCGTAAACACCTCGGAGCAATTGACGTTCCACAAACTACGTCATAAAAACTCTAACGACGGAAGTTGCGCTAATTTGCAACACTGCCCACTGCATGGGCCACCAGAGCTGTTATTCTGCCTGTAACCCACGCCATGATCCTCGTCACTGCGCCAATTACATTACACAAGCTTCTTCAAAGGAGTGTTTGATGATGAATTGGATACAAGGAGTTGACATGGAATCAACAACCCTGCTCATTAGTACTAAACACATGTACAAGGGTCCTCAACCGCATTTCTTATTTAGCATGCTGTTAACTGTGATATATAGACAGTGTGAAACACCCCGCCACTTACATATATGATGTAATATGTTTTCTGCTTCTAACTGGGATAGCTAGTCAGTATTATCGTTAGTTTTTTCATCCGGAAGCGAACCTCTAGCAGGGTATATCCGTAAAAAGGCACACTAAATTCCAGTGACCGGGGCTTTAGAGATGTCCTGTCTGATGGGATGTAAATCGGAGGTCCTGTGTAGGTGTGTAGGTGTGTGTGTACTACGTGTGTGTGTGTGGGGGGGATACCTCGAGCACAACTATTCAGACCGTTTTTGTCTGGAACCTGCCAAAATCTTTTTAATTTCAAATACTAGTAGGTGTTTCAAAGGAAGTAGAAAGTTGGTAAACATGTTTTAATGAATGATAAAGAAGAAACACTTGCAAGTCTGGACTTCTGCGGCTTTTACTTACTGTGTGTTACATCATCAGGCAAACAACAACCCTGGTCAGACGGACTGCGTAGAGTTGTCGCTCCATCAAATATCAGTATGTTATTACCTGTCATGTCGTGCATGCAAATCAAGCCTGACGCTGCGCCTGTAAATCCTTTCATGTCTGTTCCTTACTCACAACGCCAGGATCTTTCTAAATCATCAGCTTGGATCATTCGTGCGACTAATGGCTTTGAAGCTCTATGTGCAGTCTTGTGCAGTCTAGAAGCGATTATTCTCGCACTACAGAAATCATACCAACTACAGAAATCAAAGTTTTGTCCAAATAACTTTGTAGTTGTCGTTTTGTTCGCATAACTTTACCGGTAAAACGCCTTCATGCGATGCCAAGTCTGTACAGTAAGTACAAGCGGAGTACGACCAGACTGACAGAATAAGAACTTTATTGCACGACGATTGCACGTGGTACATTGTATGGCAAACTACATAAAGAGAGAGTAACAACAATAAAATAAGTGTGTTGAATAAGACCTAATGTCGAATAAAACCTAGTATCATATCTATATCATAATCATTCAAGTAATAAGGGATATCACAAGTTTTTGATAAAGTGGCAGATGTGATCCACTCGTACCGGGAAGGACCGGTATGATACCCATCGATACATGTGGTGGGTTCTTTAATGTACTCGAGGTGAGGATCTTCTCAAATACAGGTCCCATCCGATAGAACATTTACTAAGAACTCGTTTTCACGTGTATACCTCCGTTGACTGAGGAAATCGTTGCCACTTCTGGGCATATGGTGACTTGCAAGGAAAACATTGAGCTTGCAAGGAATTTTAACCCCAAACCGTTAGGTTCCAAGTCAACCGCTCTAGTGACAAGACCACCATGTTTATTTGAAACCAATCAGTGGATGACGTACATCGGATGATGCATGGGATTATCAAAGGAAGCCATCGGTAATTAACCCTGATCAGTACCGGCACGGGCGGCCAGGTCTGGCCTGAGGGCTTACATGTTCAATCTGTCAGGCCTACGTACACAGTAGCAACAGGAAACTGCAATTTTCCTGCGGCAAAAATGATATTGAGGAGCCGAAATATGGAATATTTATTTGCTGGTAATATTTGATCTCTTTTACTTTATGACAGTGTATTTCTTTGTTAATAGACAAATTTGAACAACATATTGTCGGCTTGTATCTGTCAACTTACATATATTATCATTATTTTGTTTTGTAATGAAAGCTCCTGGAAGAACACGTCTCGATGTTGAATGGAATTCATCAAGACTACTAGAATTATCTATTATTGACCGTCACTTTACCCTGAAATAACCTTTTATATCTGTTAATGGACTAACGCATCTGGTTGAATTAAGACAGGATATCCTTGAACCAAGGTGTTGAGCTTGGTCAATATGTTCGATTTTCCTACAGGAAAGTGGTTCCGGTCTTTTTATCCAAACATACGATATAAAAATCAATTTTCCTTCTCCCACAGTAGGAACGAATCACTTAGAGACGGGAATTCCACGTTGCCAGATTTCTACTTACTTTCGCCAGCCCTGAGCTGTTGCGGAACGTAAATATGTCTGCAGAGCCATAAAATGGCAGCTGTATTTATGTGCTCTGTAACAACAAATGTCAACGTCATTCACCCAGAAAACTTCTCTCACATTACCCTTAAGTCTTAAAATCTATCACTTTTTATTATATGGGGACCATCTCAGAACTGTGTTTTTTCATTTCAACATGGTTGATAAATGTATACATACATTCAATCGTTATTGATACATACATGTAGCTATACTTAGGTCTCTATCTAAATACACATGTGCCCGTAAGGAGTGTAGCTCCCGGCCGGGTTTTGAAGTGGGGAGGACACCGGTTGTCGTGGTCATGGTTATTGTGCAGTTTCTGTGCAGCTGATAAGTGATGTAAAAAATTGTCCCGATGGACTGTCGGGAGCCGGGTTAATTTTAACTTCCAGAAAAAAAGTCTGGCGTCGCAGGGGTCCCACCGAGCCACGCCCGAAAATGCAGAAAAACAGCCGGCAGGGCCCCTTTATCCAATTGTGACCCAGAAGTTGTGACTTAAGCATAACTTTTACTGGAAGTGGCATCCTTATGTAGACTTTAGAATAAGAAATACATGTACATTACACCAACGCTGCTACTTACTATTACTGTGTGTATCCGTCATTGGTTTGAAGTAAAGACTCTACAGACTTACAGGCTGTAATGTTGGGAAATCTTACGTATGGAGCCACCGGCTGAGAGACATCACAGCAGCCCAGCTAGGAGATCAATCTACCGGTCAGTGCCCTGTCTCAACTTGGACAGGGCACTGACCCGTAAGGCAACTTAAAATATGCATCCAATCTTAGTCACTCCAGCAGATTTTATTGGGCAAGCAAAGACGGGACGTCTTAATTTGTTGGTGAGGTGTTAAGTGAAGGGGTTTCGGATAAAGTCAAGTAATGAAGGTTATCTCGAATAGTCTCCATGAAAGATGCTTGCAACATAATAGATAGAGACTTGGTCAGGCATTACTTCTGTGCAATGTTTATAGTTGTTAGCTTGCTTATTGCATTTTCTACCTCAAGTGCAAGTTACAGCCATAACAGTCGGTCCCTCGGGATTTTACGGCCCATTCACATGAATCAATGACGATAGAAACTCTCCACTTCAGGCGTTAACTATCGCTTCAAGTGGGGGCTATAAAGCACGACCAGCTTTATGTGCCTGTCTACATGACGTCTCTACATTACGTTAGGTTTTATACATAGAGATATAAATCCTAGATGGACGTTGTTTCTGATCCGCCTTGCATTAAAGTTTACGACGAGATCAGTTCATATTTCCGAATCGCATCAAGTACGTCATGTCACATGTAATTATATGACTAATATATTGAACTCATGGCAATTCAAAAGATGCGATTGGATAAATACC